GTTTTTCTTCAAAATTTTTGGCCTTTTTTTGTTTATAGCGCGAAAAATAAAAAAGCGCACAGATGATCAAATACCACCAAAAGAAAGCTCTATTTGTGTGAAAAAAAGGACAGAAATTTTGTTTGGGTGCAGCATTGCATGACCGCGCAATTATCAGTTGAATTAGTGCAGCGCCGAGTAGCAAAAAGAGGCGGGGTCATTAAGGGGGGTAAATCCTCTGAAGGTCAAGTGGTTAACACTTCGATTTCTGAAAACATTCTTCATATGCAGCCTTTTTTCACTGCCTATAACTTTTGCACAGTACTGTATATCAGATGTATTTTATACTGCTGAGTCATTCACACTCCTGAATTCCTGAAGAAGAGGGATTCCATTCCCCCGAAACGCATTGGCTTCCAACTGATAATAAAAGTCATCCATTTGCACCCAACAATCTCATCCTTTTGATCTTCCTCTTCTTCTGTACCTCAACTAATTCCTCCAAGGAAGAAAGATAAAGACGTTTTCCCTTCCAACTTTTCAAATTTGTTATATTACCTCCTACTTATAGATCTGGTTCTGGCTGGATACTGGAACCGATACATTTGCATCCCAGTAGAAGCCATTGTATATTGTATCCTAAGTGGACCCATTTAATATTCACCCTTTGCAGTTCCTATTTCTACACAGCAGGCAGAGACGGTTCCCGTACTCCAGGGGAAATGCAAATAATTCAAACATTTCATTTCTTTGTTCTGACAAAAAAGCAGATTGGATTTGCATTGTACGGGAATGAAAGAAAGCAGAAAGAGACACGTTTTTTTACTTTTTTTTTTCCCTCGTTACAAAGAGCACGGTGTCCCTAAAGTGCCAGGAATCTGTCATCCTCAGATACTGACGGTGTGAAAACAGCTCTTTAATGTCATACAAAGGCTTCGCCTTCCTCGTTCACACCGGTGAATCGGATCAAACGAACCTGGAGAAAGGAGTACAATGCCGCAGGATCCGGAAGGTGCTGTGCAGGCTTAAAGGAATTCACAATAATAACGATTCTGCTAATTAATTAAGACCGAGGTTTGTTTTTTTTCAGAAAAACTACTCGTCAATTCAAGATATTCCCGGTTACAGATTTCACTCTTCTTTTCATGTCTGTAAAAATCTCCGGTGGGGTTGTATCTTGAAAGCCAGAGGAAAATAAAAACTTCTCACCGCACCACTTGTACATAATCTATGAGGTGGTATCAAAAAGTCTTGAGAATGGCTTTCTGAATCATGGCAAACATCTCTGCACAGTTTCACGCAGAATTTCACATTTTCTCTTTGTTCTCAATTGCTGTCCGTGATGAAATAGCAGACGTGGTGACGCACGTGGTCAGAATGGCACCAGTTGCACAGCTCCCGATGTACACAGGATGATCAGGCCTAGTGCATTACCATAAAAAATGTTTAATAAAAAATAAAGTAGGTGTTGTACTCACAAAGGACAATATAGTCAAGGCACATCATAAAGAACAGCTGGGTCAACATCGCGCTGGGTAACAGTCCGCAATAGGGAGTGTAGACATCCAATAGGCTGACGCGTTTCAAAGACTTGCCTCTTCCTCGGAGCCAACTCTATCTTTTCTTTCCTCATTCAGTATATTTGGATTCCCCCGGTCTATTTGAGGGCAGCAAGGTGTGCATGTTCCAGGACATTCTTAACTAGTTGCCGACCGCAGATAGCCGAATGACGGCTGCACTGCGGCCGGCCAGTTCTGGGTGGACGTCATATGACATCCTCCCAGAACACGCTCTCCTGCGCGCCCCAGGGGGCGCGCACCCGGCGATCTCCGTGATCGCTGTGTCCTACGGACACAGCTGATCACGTGATGTGGTAAAAGGCCAATCACAGCGGCCTTTTACCACGTGATCAGCGGTGTCCAATGACACGCTGATCACAGGGAAATGCAATTGCCGGTTCTCGGCTGCACTTTCCTCACGCTGTCAGATCGTTGTCAGAGTGAGGGCATTGTCAGGGCAGTTGTCAGAGCGGGGATCGGCACCGATCATCAGGGCACTGTGCCCAGCAGTGCCACCCACAAGTTCCGCCCACCTGTGCCCAGCAGTGCACCCACTAGCTCCGCCCACCTGTGCCCAGCAGATCACCCACCTGTGCCCAGAAGTGCACCCACCTGTGCCACTCTGCAGTGCCCCCACCTGTGCCCAGCAATGCACCCACCTGTGCCACTCTGCAGTGTCACACACCTGTGCCCAGAAGTGCCACCTACCTGTGCCCAGCAGTGCCACCCACCTGTGCCCACCCACCTGTGCCACCCACCTGTGCCCACCCACCAGTGCTGCCCACCAGTGCCACCCACCAGTGCAGCCCAGCAGTGCTGCCAGTCAGTGCCGCCAGTCAGTGCTCAGCAGTGATGCCAGTCAGTGCCGTCTATCAGTACCCATAATCAGTGTCACCTATCAGTGCAGCCTATCAGTGCTGCCCATCAGTGCCGCCTATCCGTGCCACCTCATTAGTACTGTCTATCAGTGCCCTTTAGTGCTGCCTATCAGTGCCCATCAGTGCTGCCTCATCAATGCACATCAGTGAAGGAGAAAAATTACCTGTTTGAAAAATGTTATAATAGAAACAAAGAAACTTTTTTTTTTTTTTTTCAAATTTTTTGCAATTTTTTTGTTTATAGCGCAAAAAGTAAAGCACCCAGTGGCAATTAAATACCACCAAAAGAAAGCTCTATTTGTGAGAAAAAAATGATCAAAATTTCATATGGGTACAATGTTGCATGACCGCACAATTGTCAATCAAAGTGCGGCAGCGCTGAAAGCTGAAAATTGGCCTGGTAAATAAGGGGGTATAAGTGCCCGGTAGGCAAGGGGTTAATGTGGTTGTAGCATCGAGTCCATCCCCAAGCGCAGGAGCATTTGTGTTCGCTGGTACACAGGATGATGTCTTTTGGCAGACTGACTTATGAAGGTTGGTGCTCCCTGTGACTGTGCATGCTGCCATCTGTTGACTAATTTTGAAACTTTTTGATATCACCTCGTATAGTTTTTATTTGAAAAAAGATTTAAAAGTCCTTTTTTGTAAACTCTCGGCACATGCCACATTGATGTCCTAGCAACGGTGGACTGACCATTTGGAAACTCAGGCACTGCCCGAGGGCCCGGGGTCAGTAGGGGGCCCCATGAGATGACCCTGGTACCTTTTTCATAGGCTTTTTTGAGTTTGGGCAAGGACACAGGGGCCCCATGATCCCCTATTGCCCGGGGGCCCCATGAGTTGTCAGTCCGCCCCTGTGTCCTAGTGTAAAGTAGTATGCGAGGACAAATATATGATTGATTGATTGATTGATTGATTGATTGATGGACTGTTGAGAGTTTCACAGGCTGCTGCTCTGCTACTCATCACTGTCTTCTAGGAACTTCTAGAACATAGTGGGATAGAGGTCAGAGACTGCATCCTGGGTATTTATGGGGCTTCAACCAATCCCTGAGGAGGTATGCCCAGAATGTGGGGAAGGGCCCATAAATAACCTGAAGCCTGTGCAGCAGGGGCAGCTTTTATTATGTGGGTGTGGAACAGTGTTCCAGAGTCCAGCCTGCTGGAGGCCTGCAAAAGGCCTGAAAGCAGCTGAGACCCATCGAGCTAACAGGACAGGACAGTGTGAGCACTTTTACACCCCCTGGGCCAGAGAAGGGAAAGGGCGGTCAGGCGCAAGACCCAACTAGTTCTCATCCAGGACTACTTAGGTGGCAGATCTTGGACTCACTTGCCCAGAGATACCCTCAGGACAGCCGGGTGAAAGAGGGAGGATTCATCTGGGGTCTGAGGAGATACATCAAAGGGGACTTCAGTGCCCCTTAAAGAGACAGTTGCTATTTTTTGGTCCACATTTTTGTACAGTGTTTGTCAAGAAGTTGTCCTTGAGTTTTACAGTTCCTGGGGTACCCCATATACCCTTAGATCCCATCCACCTTGTTAACTCCTAATACAAACAACAAAACCAAGCTGGAGGACTGTTTTACTCACTGTGTGTGATGATGTGGAAAATGCATGTTACATAGAGCTTAGGGGGACCCATCAAATTCAGTGGCCCTCGAGGTGGGTGCTACACTTTTTGATGGATTGACGGCCACCATTCAGCATGATTGACACAGACCTGTATCGCTGGGCGACGTGACTTTCGGTGGATGTGCATTGTGGGACACTTGAGTGTGTTTATTTCCAGCATACATCATTTTTACTTTCTTCCTACCCCTTACTCATTCACATGGAGGATTGGTATCTGGAGCCCCCTTGATTTTAAAGGGACTGCCAGATTATGAGAACAACCCCATCCAAAGACCCCCAGAAACAGAGGGCCAGGGTTGTGGGGAAGAGGTCCTTGTCCTCATCAACAAGGGGAAAGGTTTGTTGCCAGTGGGTCGGCCCTGGTAAGGTACCCCCTCCCATGTTGGGGGCAAGTGACCTAGTATGGTTCAAGTCAGGGGAGTGCACATTACAATAATTACCGTATTTTTCGCTCCATAAGACGCACTTTTTTCCCCAAAAAAGGGGGGAAAATGTCAGTGCGTCTTATGGAGCGAATATGGAGCAGCCGGTCCAGTATTCCCACCGCCGTGTCAGAATACATAGACGACCGCTCGGCTCTTCTCTGCAGCAGAACCTTACCTGTTCCTCAGTCCAACGCTGTACAGTCTTCCGGCACCGGCATCTTTAGTGTGGGCACCTGGCTGTGACAGCTGAGTGCCCACTGTGCATGCGCGAGACGCGCTGCACTTTGTGAATGGTCCGGCGTCCTTGGGGACACATGACAGGTCCCAGAAGACGTCGGGCCATTCAGAAAGTGCAGTGCTTCGCGTGCATGCGCAGTAGGCACCCGGGTGCCCACACTAAAGGGAGGACAACTCCGCGGAAGTGGGAGCGGGTACCTGTCAAATTCAGGTACCCGGTCCCCCTCCGTCCCCAAAGGTCCGCAGTCTCTGGTCATCTCCTGTACTGTGTCCGCAGTCTCTGGTCATCTCCTGTACTGTGTCCGCAGTCTCTGGTCATCCCCTGTACTGTGTCCGCAGTCTCTGGTCATCTCCTGTACTGTGTCGCAGTCTCTGGTCATCTCCTGTACTGTGTCCGCAGTCTCTGGTCATCTCCTGTACTATGTCTGCAGTCTCTGGTCATCTCCTGTACCGTGTCTGCTGTCTCTGGTCATCTCCTGTACTGTGTCCGCAGTCTCTGGTCATCTCCTGTACTATGTCTGCAGTCTCTGGTCATCTCCTGTACCGTGTCTGCTGTCTCTGGTCATCTCCTGTACTGTGTCCGCAGTCTCTGGTCATCTCCTGTACTATGCCTGCAGTCTCTGGTCATCTCCTGTACTGTGTCCGCATTCTCTGGTCATCTCCTGTACTATGTCCGCAGTCTCTGGTCATCTCCTGTACTGTGTCCGCATTCTCTGGTCATCTCCTGTACTGTGTCCGCAGTCTCTGGTCATCTCCTGTACTATGCCTGCAGTCTCTCCTGGTCATCTCCTGTACTGTGTCCGCATTCTCTGGTCATCTCCTGTACTGTGTCCGCAGTCTCTGGTCATCTCCTGTACTATGTCCGCAGTCTCTGGTCATCCCCTGTACTATGTTCGCAGTCTCTGGTCATCCCCTCCTGTACTGTGTCCGCAGTCTCTGGTCATCTCCTGTACTATGTCTGCAGTCTCTGGTCATCTCCTGTACTATGTCTGCAGTCTCTGGTCATCTCCTGTACTGTGTCTGCAGTCTCTGGTCATCTTCTGTACTGTGTCCGCAGTCTCTGGTCATCTCCTGTACTGTGTCCGCAGTCTCTGGTCATCTCCTGTACTGTGTCCGCAGTCTCTGGTCATCTTCTGTACTATGTCTGCAGTCTCTGGTCATCCCCTGTACTGTGTCTGCAGTCTCTGGTCATCTCCTGTACTGTGTCCGCATTCTCTGGTCATCTCCTGTACTGTGTCTGCAGTCTCTGGTCATCCCCTGTACTGTGTCCGCAGTCTCTGGTCATCTCCTGTACTATGTCTGCAGTCTCTGGTCATCTCCTGTACTGTGTCCGCAGTCTCTGGTCATCTCCTGTACTATGTCTGCAGTCTCTGGTCATCTCCTGTACTGTGTCTGCAGTCTCTGGTCATCCCCTGTACTATGTCTGCAGTCTCTGGTCATCTCCTGTACTGTGTCCGCAGTCTCTGGTCATCCCTGTGCTGTCCGCAGTTTCTGGTCATCTCCTGTACTGTGTCCGCAGTCTCTGGTCATCTCCTGTACTGTGTCCGCAGTCTCTGGTCATCTCCTGTACTGTGTCCGCAGTCTCTGGTCATCTCCTGTACTATGTCCGCAGTCTCTGGTCATCTCCTGTACTGTCCGCAGTCTCTGGTCATCTCCTGTACTATGTCCGCAGTCTCTGGTCATCTCCTGTACTGTCCGCAGTCTCTGGTCATCTCCTGTACTATGTCCGCAGTCTCTGGTCATCCCTGTGCTGTCCGCAGTCTCTGGTCATCCCTGTACTGTGTCCGCAGTCTCTGGTCATCCCTGTACTGTGTCCGCAGTCTCTGGTCATCTCCTGTACTATGTCCGCAGTCTCTGGTCATCTCCTGTACTATGTCTGCAGTCTCTGGTCATCTCCTGTACCGTGTCTGCTGTCTCTGGTCATCCCCTGTACTGTGTCCGCAGTCTCTGGTCATCCCCTGTACTGTGTCTGCAGTCCATTGGTTCAGAATATTTTTTTTCTTGTTTTTCTCCTCTAAAACCTAGGTGCGTCTTATGGAGCGAAAAATACGGTAATTGTTACGCTTGAACGAATATTGAGACATTCGCAAAGGGAATTTTTTTTTTTTTTTACAAATTGGCCCCAATGTGCAAAATCAACCTCCGCCTAGTAATGATCAATTTTTACACAAATGAGTTGACTATCACTGTTTTGGCCAAATATTTTGTCATTCTCTGTTGTTAACTGCATTCTTGCTTTAAAAATAAAATTTAAAAAATATATAATTTTTTGACTTGATTCTATTTTTTATCATAATTTCCCATAATACCACTTATCTATGCGATTATCTGCTTGCCGCTCATGGACAGTGCATCTACTGCAGGTGGGGGGCAGCTACAGGCTGGGTGTCACCGTATGTCGCCACCTGGGCTTTTGAGATCTCATGCGCGCGCCCCCTGCTGACCCGTGCTGGGATTGGCTAAAACCCGCTGATTAGCTGTAGCCAGTCACAGCACAGAGTTCAGTGTTTACAAACACACAGAACTCTGTACAAAGACAGTGATCTGGCTGTTTTTTATCCCTGAAATCAAATCTGAATTCAGGGAGGAAAAGGAGCCAGATCTGTGAGTAAAAGCAACACATTACACTTGTTAGGCACACAGTTAACCCCTTGATTGCCTCTAGATGTCAACCGCTTTCCAGTCAGTGTCATTTGTGCAGCGTACAGTATTATGTCTGATCACTGTATTAGTGTCACTAGTAATGTCAGTATCAGTGTCTCTCCCAGCCAGTGTCTGCTAGCACCAGATTGCCCGCCACATTATCACAATCCCACTCTAAATCACTAGTCACTGCCATTATTAGTACAGCATCATGCCAGTGCAAATTCCAGTATATATACAGTATATTTAGGCACGAATACCTTCACACAAACCAATAAATATACAATTATTGCGATTTTTTTTTTTTTTTTTTTTTTTTTTTTATTACCAAAAACATTTTTTATTTATTTCAGGTACTTATATAGCGCAGTCAATTTACGCAGCACTTTTACATATATATTATACATTCACATCAGTCCCTAACCCTCAAGGGGTGTACAATCTAAGGTCCCTAACTCACATTCATACATACACATACCAGGTTAGACAGGAGCCAATTAACTTACCAGCATGTCTTTGGAGTGTGGGAGGAAACCGGAGTACCCGGAGGAAACCGGAGTACCCGGAGGAAACCCACGCAGGCACAGGGAGAGCATGCAAACAAGGCAGGTGGTGCTGTGGTTGGGATTCAAATTGGCGACCCTAGTACTGCCAGGCGGAAGTGCTAACCACTTAGCCACTGTGCTGCCCATGTAGCAGAGTACATTTCGGCCTAAACTTGATTTTGTTTTTTAATTGGATATGTTTCATAGCAGAAAGTACAAAACTTTTTTTTTTCTTTAGTTTTTTGAGTATTGCATGGAAAGAAATTGCATTCCTGGTACATGTCAATGGTCAAGTTGGTGACAAGACTCACAGTGGGTCCAACCAAAGAAAGGGCAGTGAGACCTATCTAGTAATAGAAGGGCCATCCATTGCGGTGAGTGTAAATCCATGTGGGGTCACCTGGAGCACCTGGAAGGGGTCACCTGTGTTTTTTTTCTGTTACTAATGGCACCAGCACATGTTCCCCTATCTTTTGGCTTTCAAGCAACTATGATTTGAATGGGGCTCACTGATACATTGGACATTATTTGTATTTTCTTGTGTTGTTCATTTATATATCATTTTTTTTTTCCATTTTCACATGTGGCAAATTGTTAAAATGGTTGTAAAGGCTGCAAGTTTTTTACCTTTATGCATTCTGTACATGAAGGTAAAAAACCTTCTGTGTGCAGCATCCCCCCCAGCCCACTTACTTGCCTCATCGTGATCCAGAGATATGAATAACAGACTCAGCTTTCCCGGGTCTCCGCCTCCTCACTGGCTGAGGCAGCAGCGGAAGCCATTGGCTCCCGTTGCTGTCAGTCAAAGCCAGTCAGCCAATGAGGAGAGAGAGGGAGTAGGGCCAAAATGAGGCTCCATGTGTGAATGGATACAAGGAGCAGCGGGTTGCCCCCAGAGCTAGCTGCTTGCTGTGGGGGCACCCGACAGGAGGGAGGGGCCAGGAGAGCCTGCAGAGGACCCATGAAGAGGAGGATTCAGTCTGCTCTGTGCAAAACCCCTGCACACAGCAGGTAAGCATGTTTATTATTTTGCCAAAAAAAAAAAAAAAAATTAACCTTTAGAAACGCTTTAAGTAGTTTTGGTTCACATTTTTGGCATATACACATTTATAGGGGTTTTTTTTTATTTTGGTCTTTTTTTGTTTATATAATAAAAAATATAAAAAAAAACCCAGTGGTGATCAAATACAGGTGTACCTCAGTTTACGAATTTAATGCGTTCTGCAGGACTTTGTGTACTGCAAAAAATTTGTAAACCAAAACGCGGTTTCCAATAGGAATGCATTGAAAATTAATTAATCAGTTCCAGAGGTCAGAAAAAAAGTATTTTATCTGTTCAAAACTCCTTATACAGGCATAAATACTGTACAGAGACATGATAAAAAAAAATTCAAAAATGCATTGAAAAACAATCCGTTTCAGAGGTCAGAAAAAAGTAAAAAAAAAGTTTTATCTGTTCAAAATTCTTTATAAAGTCCACTTTAAAGGCATAAATACTGTACAGGGACATGATTAAAAAAAATTGTAAATGCATTGAAAACCAATTATTCCATTCCGGAGGTCAGAAAAAAGTAAAAAAAAAAGTTTTATCTGTTCAAAACTCTTTATAAAGTGCACTTTAAGGGGATAAATACTGTACAGGGACATGATAAAAAAAAATTCCTAAATGCATTAAAAACCAATTAATCTGTTCCGGTGGTCAGAAAAAAGTAAAAAAAAAAAGTATTTTATCTGTTCAAAATGGTTTATAAAGTGCACTTTAAAGGCATAAATACTGTACAGGGACATGATTAAAAAAAATCGTAAATGCATTGAAAACCAATTATTTCGTTCCGGAGGTCAGAAAAAAGTTAAACAATTCTTATCTGTTCAAAATTCTTTATAAAGTGCACTTTAAAGGCATAAATACTGTACAGGGACATGATAAAAAAAAATTGTAAATGCATTGAAAAACTATTAATCCGTTTCAGAGGTCAGAAAAAAGTAAAAAAAAGTTGTATCTGTTCAAAACTCTTTATAAAATGCACTTTAAGGGGATAAATACTGTACAGGGACATGATAAAAAAAATTCCTAAATGCATTAAAAACCAATTTAATCTGTTCCGGAGGTCAGAAAAAAGTAAAAAAAAGTCTTATCTGTTCAAAATTCTTTATAAAGTGTATTTTAAAGGCATAAATACTGTACAGGGACATGATAAAAAAAATCATAAATGCATTGAAAACAAATTATTCCGTTCTGGAGGTCAGAAAAAAGTATAAAAAAGTCTGTATCTGTTCAAAACGGTTTATAAAGTGCACTTTAAAGGCATAAATACTGTACAGGGACATGATTTAAAAAAAATTGTAAATGCATTGAAAACCAATTATTCCGTTCTGGAGGTCAGAAAAAAGTAAAAAAATTCTTATCTGTTCAAAATTCTTTATAAAGTGCACTTTAAAGGCATAAATACTGTACAGGGACATGATTTAAAAAAATTGTAAATGCGTTGAAAACCAATTAATCCGTTTGTATTGCAAAAAAAATTCGTAAACTGAGGCATTATTTTCAATGGATTTTCATTCGTAAACCGAAAATTACGTTAACCGATGCGTTCGTAAACCGAGGTCTGCCTGTACCACCAAAAGAAAGCTCTATCTGTGTGAAAAAAAAATGATATAAATTTCATTTGGGTACGGTGTTCCATGACCAAGCAAGTCCCAATTTACTTTTGGGAGTTTTCTTTAGTTTCTGTATATTTGGGATATTGTCAACGATCCAATGATTCTAGTGCGTGGAGCGCTAACAAACATGACCGTGCAATTGCCATTTAAAGTAGTGCAGTGCTGAATAGCGGGAAAAAATGCCCTGGTCACGAAGGGGGTAAAACCTTCCGAAGGTCAAATGGTTAATTTTGAAACGTCAGAAAATGTCAGCGAAAGAAATAATGGTAAAAGTAGGAAAACTGGACTTTATTGAGTAGTCTACAATTACGCCCCCCCTCCCGTAAGAAGTGACTCTTCTCCTTGACTCAGGATTGCAGCGCTGTTAATTTTGCTATTTTATTTATTTAGGTTTTTTTTTTTTGCTCATGTCAGATCGATATCAGATTACTTGGTCATGACCTTTAAGAAAGCGGCGCTCTTGTCACTTCAAATCCTCCCATTTTGTGAGACAATATTTGCTGATACTGAACTGCCGTGGAAGAGATTGGATGTGCGGTGAGCGAGGTGACAGTTGTGGCAAGCCGGCTTTATTAACCTCCCCGGCGAGGCTGAAGATCCTAAGTGATGGACTCTGCGAGGTACAGCAGGGATACTTGTAGGTGCAAAGTCAACAGTTGGCGAAATTTAAAGTATACCTTCTTGTAGCGCTACAGGACGGCATGAATACGATCCGGACATATCACAATACACAGCTTTTTTCATAAAAACTCCACCTTTTATCATTGAAAAGCCATCCTTGAGCTCCAGTCAGTGACTGTGGTGTCAGGGCAGGAGCTGTGGAACGGACAGGCAGGCCTAGT